GATGAAATAGTAACTCTGCCTAATCGGTATAGCTGAGGATGAAGTGAGGCCAGTTGGCTAGCCGTGGTGAATTTACCAGGAATCAATCATGTTTTCTAGGGGAGACCGCATGGAGCTCGACTTGATAAAGTGTAAAGCTAGGAATGAGGCTTATAACCTTTATTATTTATAATCCTTGCCTCCTAGCCTTAAAATGCTTCTGTAATGAAATTTCACAGACATATCTCAAATCTGAAACTGCACTGTAATACAAGTAAATTATGAGAAACAATTTGTACGATTATGTACAACGAACATTTTACAATACCATCAATATTAGCTGAGATTTGGAGGGAAAGGGATTGTTAGCAATGGAGTTTGACAGCCCCATTGCTAGCAATATGCCTTATTAGGTCGACTTCCATGTAGTTCCCCCTGGAAACCATTGTGAACAATTCTTGTTGAATTCGTCACGATGGGCTAACTGACCAACTTCATTCTCACCTATCATCATTCACTGGTGCCCCGCCGATGTATACCGATAGTGCGGATGGGGTTACCATTCCAATATCATCCATTAAAAAAAAATATTAGCTGAAGTAAAATGGCGACGTGGTATCCGCTTCGCTGGTTTCCTATCGCTTGGGCTTGGCCAGTTCGATTTACAGACGCCATCTTTACCATTACCGCTCTAAACCGATTCTATTCAGCGGTTACATTGTTGACAACTTAAATGCCCATGACTCATGTAAGATAAAGTAGGTTTAATTATAAATCACTACCTTTTTGTACCTCGTTTACTTTATAATTTTTTTAATAAATTCCAAAATATGTATATTGATTTATGCATCGGGCATGGTTGAGGAGTCCAGAGTGAATGAAAACTTCGCTATGATAATACGGTATAGTTAATTGCTTGGATTCGTGTTTTAACTGTGAAGCAGTTGTGTTTGCATGGCTATGTTTCAGTTTGAAAGGTGGGATATAGCAATGAAATTTCAGGGTGCAGAGACGAAACACTGTAGTCCTCAGGAATGGCAACACATGAGGAGTAATCGATGATAATGGAATGGTAACCCCGCTTGCGCAGTCGGTATACGCTGGGTATCAGAGGGAGACTTTGCACAAAAGTCGATTGCTTGGGTAACTCTATCCCATTCGTGTTTCAACCGTGAAGCAGTTGTGTTGCATGGCTGTGTTTCGGTTTAAAGGGTGGGATATGGCGTGATTTTACTGGGTACAGAGGAATAACACCTGAGTCCTCAGGAGTGCCAATGCATGGGGGGTGTTATGGGCGAAACAGCATACTTTGTTATGTCCATGGTACTGCTCATGTCTATAGGCGACGGTTACCACTTTCCATCAGGTGGGCCGTCAGCTTGTTTGCCATTCTAAGTTGTATAAAAAAAAGATAGGTAAAAATGAGCTAGTCAGTTAGCCCATAGTGACTAATACAAGAATTAATCACAATAGTATCCAGGGGAACTGCGTGCAGCTCGACCTGATAAGGTATATTGCAAGCAATGGCGATGTTAGACCCCCATTACTAAGAATCCCTTTCCCTCCAACACATGGTTATCATGATGTAACACCGCCATATTATGCCCAGGTTATTGTTTTTCATATCTATAGATGAATTGGTAACCCAATTTCCAGGGGGGAAAGGGATTGTTAGTAATGGAGACTGAGAATCCCATTGCTAGCAATATACCTAACCAGGTCGACCTCCCGCGGTTCCCCCTGGAAACTATCATGGTTAATGCGTGATGAATTCATCATGATGGGCTAACTGGCCTGTTTTCATTCTCATCTATCACCCTTCACTGGTGCTCCGCCAGCGTATCTCGTTAGCGCAGGCGGAGTTACCGTACCATTTTCACCCATCATAAAAAAAAAAACAATTTTCATCAGGTGGGCCATCAGCTTGTTGGCCATTCTAAGTTGCATAAAAATTCATCTTTTAAAATTCGACCGGTACTTGGACAATAGTTATGTCCGCTATAAATGTTACATGTATTTTTCTGTATTACCCATTCGTCGAACTCCATTCAAATCTTAAACTCTACGTACAAGGAATTACATAGAAGGAATGATAAATTAAAAACTGTAAATCGTATGATTGTCTCCTTTCTTCTTATGCAACTACGATTAGTAAACAGAAGACAGAAGATACACCGTCAGTTGCTGCTTTTCTCAATTCATAGCAGGCTAGTGTAAAGAAAATATTTGATGTCAATGACAAATTTTACATTACTAGATTATATATTCGACACAGTTTGTGTAGAAAGTATGCAAGCGGATTGTATCTGAATTTGGTAGGGTTATACGGCCGTGTAACATTTTCTATTACACTAGCCAGCTATGAATTGTCAATTTTATCACTCCTATGTAATTCCTTGTTTTTAGATCAAACTTTAATAAAAAAAAAACATAAAAAAATAAATAAAAAAATCGATTAGTAACTCGATACCCGTGATGTCAGCGAGTGCCGAGTGCCTAGTTCCGTGAAATAGCCATTTGGCGCATTGTGTTTCTTTGAAAATGCGGCTTCAACGTTGTAAGTGGTCTCAAGAGCTTCTATGCTTCACCTGGCTAGAACAGGCATCCGACGTGGATAATATAGCCTTCAGACATGCAATACCTAAGCAATGGGATGGAAAAAGCATATTATGTAGTTTTAAAGACATAAAATGCCGCTTTAAATGCATCCATTCATCCATCCGTCCATCGAAAGGATATACTTACAGGTTGTTCCCATGGAAATGTTAACAAAATCGGTACAGTAGTTTAGAATTTAATCAAATTATCAGGTTTTGTCAAAATTTATGTCGGTTTTATTGTAGAGCACATTTTAATTTTATGATAATTGAAATATCCATTTATCTTCGTGGAGCACAAAATCTACATGTAAAAATGGGATTTGCGTTCTAAATTTAAATATAATATTTACCAATTACAATGTAAGGTATCTAGTAGTATCGTCTATCGATGTGTGTGTGTGTGTGTGTGTGCGAGCATGCGTGCGTGCGTGCGTGCGTGCGTGCGTGCGGGCGTCGTGTGTGCGTGTGTGTGCGCGCGCGCGTTTCTCTCTCTCTCTCTCTCTCTGTGTGTGTGTGTGTTTGTGTATGTGTCTGTGTGTGTGTTTGTGTATGTGTCTGTGTGTGTGTCTATTGGTGTATTTGCGATTGAAATCCCTTTATTTTGCGGAGCAATAGGTATACATATACTTGTTAATTCGAATGAATATAATTTTCATATTATTTTATCTAAATAGAAGTCGGATTCATTATCCTTACATTATAACATTATTATCTTATCTAATTGATTAATTAATACAATTATGTAGGTACAGTATTTTTAGAATAATATTAATACAAACAAGATGCAGTTAGTGTCTAGTATACATAATGCACTGTATTGTGTGTTAATACATTCCCGAGATAAATGCATAATATCACGAGTTGTTAAGAATACAAAGACGGTCAGATGAAACAGTAGATGTTCTGTTAGTTGCTTATCATTTTTTGTGACGTAATGAGATGTTTCATTACTAATTGCTGTGGCGGGAACTAGTTAAAAATAGAATACTCTTTTTATTATTGAACAAAAACTTGTCAGAAGTGGGATTTGAACCCACGCCCAGAAGACTGGACTGCGACCTGAACGCAGCGCCTTGGACCGCTCGGCCATCCTGACATGATTTCAGTTGCTGAAATTTTAGATTATGTTCTATAGTAGTTATAATATTCTTCTCGATTCTTCGATTTTCCAAAAACTGATCACCAATGATGATATAGGAATCATAATCATCATATATTAGATAGATAGATAGTCTTTATTACCAACAACGTTAAAAAAACAATAATAAAGAAAAAAAAAATGCAATTAATTTTGCTGGTATTAGGAGCCGTTTCAGCTGTTGCTATGTATGCACACCTCCAGCGAGATGTACCTATGGCGGCCCCTTAGGCCGCCTGAAAATCAGCGCTATATAGGTTATAGGAGGTTATAGGACGGCCCACCTGATGGAAAGTGGTAAACGTTGCCTATAGACATGAGCAGTACCATGGCCATAACAGAGTATACTGTTTCGCCCATGATACCCCCCATGCGTTGTCATTCCTGAGGACTCAGGTGTTATTCCTCTGTACCCTGTAAATTTACGCCATATCCCACCCTTCAAACCGAAACACATCCATGCAAACACAACTGCTTCACGGTAGAAACACGAATGGGACAGAGGTACCCAAGCAGTCGACTTTTGTACAGTCTCCCTCTGTTCACTTATGTCTGATATTAGTCACTAAAATAATTATTAATAGAGAATCAGTTAATTTATTAATTAATGAGAGGAACGTATACCTATTTGCATTTGGCATGTAGTTTACAAATAAAGGACTCGTTCACACTGACCGGAAACGGCGTTCGTTGCAATAATTCGCGTGTTGACTTAATACCTGTAGCGAGTGGAGCGCAGCGTCCGGCGCGGTGCGGTGCGGCGGCGTGCCCTTTGATCTGACACGCCACGCGCGCTACCAGTTACTTACTCCGCACGTGCTTGTAGTTTGTAGGGTTGTCAACAGAATGTTATTAAATGAAAACAATGAAAATATCTCACCTTCTTGTATATTATTTGATGTTATTTGTATATTAAATATAGAGGATCGTGTGGAGGTCGAAAAAGTCGTGAAATAGAGTTAATATATATATATATATATATATATATATATATATATATATATATATATATATATATATATATATAAAATCTGTTAAAATGCACATTGAATCTTTTACGTAGTTTTCAAAGCATGTAACCTCTTTCATTATAATTTAAAATTAAGTTATATAAGCATTCCAATTAAATTTAAAATTAACATTCTTGATAAGAGAAGACAAAAAAAAAATATTTAAAACTGACGCAATTATAATAAACATAAAAAAATACAACTAAAAATGAGAACTTTCTTTATGAAGGCGGCTGAAAAATGAAACTAGATCAGATGTTTACTAATATGTTATAGTAAAGTATTACGACACACCTTCAACGGCGACGGATCGGACCACCTAGCTTGACGCAAGAAGGCGCTACCGAGAAAGACACCTGCGTCGAGTCAGCACTTCAATTCCCACAGCAAAATTACCCAGTTCCTTTGTATTTGATTCGATATGACTTCACTTACAGATCACACATCGATCTGAAGGCACCTATTATTGTAACAATTAATTTTATGATTAAATTTAATTATTTTATAAAATTGGTTTTTTTTGGGTCTTCCGCCAGCGACTTCAATAACTAATACGTGTACACTATTTTTATTTATTTTATTTTGTTCTAATTCTACATAATTCATTTATTCATTTATTATTCATCTTTTAATTAAGATTTACTTAGTATATTCTGTCTCTTTAGTAACAAATATGATAAAAATTTTATATCATGCACGAGTAAATATATATGTTCGCGACATTATTTGTATATATCGTAATTTATAGTTGTTAAGTCCCTAGTTAATCGTTTCTGTATTCTGTTATTTTATATAGATTTACATAGATTTAAGATAGTGTAAGTTAAATAAAGTATTCCTTTGCGTGTTGTCGTTATTACCTACGAATAGAAATTGTAATAATAAATAGAATTAAGAAATTGTAAATTGAAATAAAATAAATAAATAGACGCTATAGAGTACCGATCTGAAGAGACACGCGTCTCGTTCATTTTCGCCCCGTCCCGCTCGCACAGATCGCTATCGCGAGTTGGAAACGTTATCGTGCGAGCGGGCGGGTATAAAGATAGGCCGCCTCCCGTCGAGCGGCATTCGCTTCCGGGCACCGACGCACTACACTCGAGAAGAAATAGGACAAGAAGAAAAAATACTCTCTTCAGACGGTACCGGAGGCTTCAGAATAGTAATCCCTGTGTTTCACTCCAGCCTGAACCAACGCCCCTACAGTCCACGCTCACCGAACGGCAGTCCACACCGTTCATCGTGGTCCTTCGAGAAGCCGGATTGCTGGAGGAACACCGTTGGTACATCGAGAAGCCGGATCGCTGGAGGAAGACCATTCTGAAGCCGGATCGCTGAAATGCCGACTACGAGAAACATGAAGTCGTCGCAACAAAAAATCGCCGTCACCGAAGCCACAACGTCCGCCGCCACCACGTCGACTACGGCCGCCGGAACGCTGTCCGTCGCTGCCACGCCGTCCGTTGCTGTCACCACGTCGTCTGCGGCTGTCAGAATGCCTTCTGTCGCTGCCACGTCGTCTACCGCCGCCACCACATCGACTACGAACACGTCCGGCGATACGACGACCACAGGAGCCACGGAGACTACCGAAGCCACAGGAACGACAGAGGAGACAGCAAGGAAGAAGGAACCGAAGCACGGCACGGCACGCACGGTTCGCACCACGGCCTCGCAGAAGAAGAAGGCTCTGGCCAAGGCACGGGAGGAGCTACTTCGAAAGGAGGTGGAATTGGCCGCCGCACGTGTCGCCGCCCTGGAAGCCGAATCAGAGGACGACGAGGAAATAGAAGACGACGACGCTACCGTCAGAAGAGAACGAACGTCGGATTGGGTTCGTCGAAGCACGCTGGCACTCACAATGGAGCCGCATGCACCAGAGATAGAAGAAGTCACCGGCAAGCGTCAGGGGTTCGTCCCATCGAGACCCGTTGAAGAGGATTCGAGAGCGCCGCCGCCACAGCCGAGCAGCGACGCACTTCACCGGGACCACGCACGCCACGTTGACCCACATGCCGCCATGCCTACGATAGCAGCAGCGATGCAGTCGATGAAGAAAGAAGAACCGGTGCTGAAGGTGGGCATCGATTGTAATGAGTTTGCGATCGCCATGCAGATGGCCGCTCGCAACATACTGCCCTCCACAGCGTCAAGAGTCACCGAGTTGCCAGTCTTCAATGGATCGTCGAGCGAGTGGTTACCATGGAAGATGGCCTATGAAGAGAGCGCAAGTCAACTCACAGAACAAGAGAACCTAGCAAGACTGCGCAGAAGCTTGAAGGGGGCCGCAAAGGACGCGGCACGCTCCCTATTCGTCGGGTCTACGACCGCAGAAGAAGTAATGAAGATGTTAGCCGCGAGGTTCGGCCGCCCTGGAGCACTCGTCACAGCCGAACTGAACAAACTCCGCGCGCTACCACGACTCTCGGACAACGCAAGAGACGTCTGCCTCTTCGCAAGCAAGGTGCAGAACGTCGTCGCCACGATACGAGCGCTGAACAAGAGTCACTACCTATACAACGAAGAAATAGTGAGAAACGTCACAGAGAAGATGCCGTCGGTACTACGCTTCAAGTACTACGATTTCGCCAACGACCAACCGGAGGGACAACCGGACCTCATAACACTCTCTCAGTTCCTGCAAAGGACCGCCGCACGATGTGGAAACTTCGCCCCCGCCGAGGAGATACCGTCCGAAGACCGGCGGGAGTCCGCTCCTAGGAAGACGGCGAAGACATACACGACGCAGGAGAAACCCGCTACACCACCGTGCCCGATGTGTCGACGAGAGGGACACGCTCCATCGGACTGCAAGACGATGAAGGAAGCAGACACATCGGCGAGATGGGAGTTAGCGAAGACTCATAGGCTGTGTTTCCGCTGCCTCAAAGTAAGAAGATTTCGCCACGCCTGCAAGAGCAAGAGATGTGGAGTAGATGAGTGCACGCAGACTCATCACCCTCTGCTGCACACCACGCGACAACAGCCGGAGAATGAAGTAACGACACACGTCGTCGAGGACAAGTCCGCCGCAGTCACCGCATCGGCAAGGGAAAACGACAAGATCGCGTTCCTGAAGATCCTGCCGATACGAGTCACCGGTCCCACGGGAACGTGCGACACCTACGCGCTACTGGACGACGGGTCGACTTGCACCATCATCGAGACGACGGTGGCGGAGCGAATCGGTGCTACGGGTCCCCCCGCACCATTCTACATGGAAGGTGTGGCCGGGGCGCGGATCAACGCAGCTCAATCGACGCGTGTTCACTTCAAGATCCGCGGGCGGAATTCACAAGAATACACAGTGGGGGCACGGACGATGGACAGACTGCAGTTATCACCGCAGTCGGTACCACGCAGCGTCATCAAGGGCTGTCCACATCTGCGGGACATAGAGAGGGAATTGGTCTACGAAGAGGGCAAACCGACGGTACTGCTGGGGCAAGACAACTGGCACCTACTGCTGGCCCACGAAGTCAGAAGAGGATCCGACACGCAGCCGGTCGCATCACTCACCGACCTGGGATGGGTACTGCACGGTACGAGTCGCGGCAGGACAAGACAGCAGGTGCACAGAATCAGCCACATAGTGACGACACATGAAGAGGAACAATCGATGGAAGAAATGATGAAGCAACATTTCGCGCTCGAATCGCTGGGAATCGCACCGAAGAGGTCTTACAATGAAGAGGAACGTCGCGCCCTACGCATTTTAGAGGAGAAAACTCGTCCGTTACCGGCGGGAGGATACGAGACGGGGTTATTATGGAAGAAGGACGACCCTGTGCCGCCGGACAACTACGAATCGGCAATGCGACGTCTCCAACTGGTCGAAAGGAAACTCGACAAGAATGAAGAAATCAAGAAGAGATATGAACAGCAAATGGACACACTACTCAAGAACGGGTATGCTGAAGTCGCCCCGCCACGGAGTTCCCAACGGGTGTGGTACCTGCCACACTTCGCCGTCATCAACCCGCAGAAACCGGGGAAACTGCGGATCGTGCACGACGCAGCAGCCAAGACGAAGGGCATCAGTTTGAACGACATGCTGCTGCCGGGCCCCGACTTACTTCAATCGCTACCGGGGGTCCTCATGCGGTTCCGGCAACGACGGGTGGCAGTCACGGCGGACATAAAGGACATGTTCATGCGGGTCACCATACGGGAAGAAGATAGGGACATGCAACGGTTCCTGTGGCGAGGAGATCGACGAGAGGGTCCACCTGTGGAATATAGGATGAAGAGTGTCATATTCGGCGCAACATCGTCACCGTGTACAGCAATCTACGTCAAGAACAAGAACGCAGAACAGTACAAGGAAGAGTTCCCGGAGGCAGCAACGGCGGTGGTCATGAACCACTACGTCGACGACTACCTCGCCAGCTTCGACACGGAAGAGCAAGCCGTACGCGTCTCAAGACAGGTCGCACAGATCCACGGTCGAGCCAACTACTATCTCCAACGGTGGGCGTCGAACTCGCATCAAGTGCGCGCCGCGTTCTCCGACACCGGCGGGGACAGCGTGGTACAACTCGACGCGGAGAAGATACTGGGGATGGTATGGCGACCTTCTGAAGACACCTTAGGCTTCAACTTCAACGGACACAAGCTTCCGCCACAGATAGCCAGCGGGGAACAGACGCCGACGAAGAGGGAAGCGCTACGAGCGATCATGTCACTGTTCGATCCACTGGGCCTCGTCACTCCCATCACCATACAGGCGAAGAAGATATTGCAGGAGACGTGGCGTACCGGTATCGACTGGGACACCGAGCTGCAACCACAGGAAGCGGACGCCTGGCGGAGCTGGATGGACCACGTGCGACGGCTGTCCGCGCTGGAGGTGCCGCGGTGCTACCCGGAGGTAGCCACGGCCGATACAGCGGAGCTGCATACATTCGTCGACGCCAGCTCGGACGCGTACGCCTGTGCCGTGTACTGGCGGGCCGTAAGCGCGACCGGCGAGGTCCACGTGTCGCTGATCGCGGCAAAGGGACGAGTGGCCCCACTCAGCAAGGTGACCACGATACCGCGACTGGAGCTGCAAGCGGCCGTCCTCGGGTGTCGCCTATCGCGCACGGCAGTCGAAGAACACGACCTGAAGCCCGCTCGCCGAGTATACTGGTCGGACTCACGCACCGTGCTCGCATGGCTACGCACCGGTCCTCGCGCATACAAGCCGTTCGTCGCGCATAGAGTCGCCGAGATCGTCGAAGAAACGAAGACGAACGAGTGGAGATGGATACCGACGCGGCACAACGTAGCAGACGACGCCACACGCGACCCACCGACGGACTTCGGCTCGCAGCATAGATGGTTCCGTGGGCCGGACTTCCTGTACCTCCCCGAAGAGCAGTGGCCGCGTGAAGATAGTACGAGCGACGATAGTCAAGCGGAAACGGGAGAAGAACGCGTACACAAGCTACAGAACGCGACGCAGTTATCCATAGCATTACCCGATCCGTCACGTTTTTCTAAT